AAATATCGTAATACTTCAATGATAATTCTAATATTTCATAATTAATCAGTAATTCATATTATAAAAATGAATATTAATTATTTCTTGTTTTGTTTTTTTATGTATTTGGCTTATTGAGTTTTGTTAAGTAACTTCAATTGACTACTAAATATTTTTTTTTTAATATAAATTTTTATCAGATAAAATTATTGCAAAAACTTGAATTCACACCAATAAAATGACTAGTTGGAATCATAAAATTGATTAAACTTTTTCTTTTACCAATGTTTACTACTTTTTGATACTCACAGAACTCCAAGTATACAAATTGAAGCACCATTAAAGAAAAGGAGATCAAAGATTATTAAGTAAGATTATATAAACCCATATGCTCTTCCGCACATGTTATTTTAATAAATATATTTATATTCTTCATTTAGATCAATAAGATCACAAGATAGCCGCTCTGAATTGAACTCTGATGAAACTAATTGGTCAGACAGTACTGTAGCTGGAGGYTCTCGCCCAACACGCCAATGCATAAATCGTTCTATACCATATCGTTAYATCCAAGAAGACGATGATGACGATGAATGATGAAGCATAACAATTTTAATAATTATAAACCCAAATTACCATTTATTTAAGATGTATTATTAGTTTTTGTCAAAATCTTAAAAATATAATACATTAAATCAGTACTGTCTACTCTTGATAATAGGGAAGAAAAGTCAATTTTTTTTAAATACAGTTTGTTAGATTTYAATTTTCTCAGTAAAATGCTAAAAAAATCTCATTACCTGAATAAAAAATGATTTGATAWTTTTTAAATTTTGTAGCTGAACTACATAACTTAAAATCAATTGAATTTCTCTTTCGATGAGGTTGTTTAGATTTTTTTTAACTATAGTTTGTAAAACAGAGACAACACATGCAGGTRTGGTGTCTTATTATAATTAATTTTTATAGATAAACGAGTTGGTTTATTTTCTTGAATTTATGTTGTTACTACCTTTTCGAGTGACTATTTAAATAATATAATTAAGCTGATACATAAGCAGACAACTTGGAATACTGGAAATTTACTGTGGGTTTATAGAATTATCAATGTGAGAAGCTAAAAATCACTTAAATCTGRTATAATAATTCAAATGCTTCCAAAACCTACTAATTTACTAGTGAAAACTGTTAAGAATCAAAGGCTTTACCAAGTACCACCAGTGGTCTGATTTAAATGTTGTCAAAAGATCTGTAATTCGTTACCTTTTAATTTGGTTACATAGGGGAAATGTTTATAAATTAATATAATATAATATAGAATTAAAAATATATTTTTTTGGTTTATGAGTAGAATATTGTGTAAAAATAATTTTTATTTGAAGGCTTGTTAAAAAAAAATATATATATTATTTTTCTTGCATAGCCTAAAATAGAAATAAATAAATTCGTACAAACATTCAAAATATCCAAACGCTGGGAAGTACCTATATAAGCTAATCGTTCACATATTGATACAAAACCAGTGGTGTGATAACCAGTATTAACTGTTTACCTGAACTCCTGGCATGTGCCAGCCCTAGAAGTAACATTAGCTGTGTCACATGCATTATTTACATATGCATACTATTTTTTTAAACTATTTGCAACAGTATCAAAAATTATCACCATGCTACTATAATATGTCTATATAATATAACAATAAATAAAAGGTGGTCCRCTAGTATTAATATTGTTACATTCATATTAATTTACTTATGTTACTTTAGGTATACTGCATTGATTATATTTTATAATTGCTGAGTAATTCTCAACAGTTAATATTTATTTTGTGKCTAAGATAACAAACAATAGTATATAGAAATAGCAAGTTTTAACTTCTCACAGGGAAATAACGTCAAAAAACTAGCCACCGGACCGAGAATCGAACTCGGGCTCTCGCTTGCCGGGCAATTTCTCTACCACTAAGCTACCTGACAGCATAGACCCATGACGCTATATCTCCAAGTTAACGGATGTTTACACAAGTAAAATATAATGCTATCATCTATATTTATAATTCATAATTTCAATAATTCTGGTAATTGCCCCAATATGATTTTGAGCAGCACATAAAGTAATACGTTGATACATAAATTTTATTACAAACCAACAAGAAAATATTAAAATCAAATATTTGTTTGGATCAATTATAAGAAATATAAATCATAATAATTTTAAATATCAACCAAAATTGGTTTATATTATTCATAAATAGTTACTCCTAATTTTTTTCTTATATCTTCAACCAGAAGTGCATTTTCGATACTTAGTGACCATGGAACAACACTGCTCTCATTTAACCCTGTAATAATATACATATAATTAACTTAAAAAATTGAATTGGTACTATTTCTATTATATATTCGATTGAAATGTTTATGAACATTATACTTTATGTAAGCCTGCAAAATGTATATTTTGTAAAATTATAATTACCTTTCAGAAGACAATTTCTAACTTCTTGAATCTCATAGATTAGTTGCACACTATTTCCATATCTTGTTGCTTTTTTTGTATTAGGCACGTCTATATTAATGTCTGTTCCATTTACAGAAATTTTAGTCGCTGACCAGAATGGATCATATAACTAATAAAATCATTTTACTATCACATAATTTAATCAAAGGAAATTTTTAATTTAATTTTACTTTAATATTTCCTTTAGTGCCRAATACAATTGCTTCGTTAGGTAGGTCAACTTTAAAATGACTTAAAAACGTAGAGATTCTACCATTGCTATACTTTAATATTACACTTGCATTTTTATCATACCCAGATTCTGTTAACTGTCCACAAGTGCCATAGATTTGAGGCTTTTCAGGACCAAACAGAAATTGGCTCATGTAAACTGAGAATACAGCCAATTCTAATATTGATCCACCACTATTTCGCCTATCAAATTTTGTCAGTTAATTACTTAAAAACACTTCTTTGAACAAACTATAAGATAGGAACTGAATTATGCATTACTGTTGAATTAGTGATTCGGACATTGGTGTGCCAAATGAAGATATTATTTGCAATGGTTCACCAATTGAACCTTTGTTGATTTCTTCTCCTAAGATAGTGAATGCTGGTGTGAAAAACATCCACATTGCTTCCATAAGAAACAAATTTTTTGACCTTGCAAGCTGAAATAGTAAAAAAAAATGTTATTTTCTTATCAACAGAATAATGAAATAGTTAAACTTACTAGCTATCAAAACCAGATAAGTTAATAAAATACCTACAAGTATGAGACATACTTACTTCAACGAGCTCTTCAACTTGCTTAGTATTTTGACAGAACGGTTCTTCACATAAAACATTCTTACCGTGTTCCAACATTAAGCGACTAACAGAGTAATGGTGCTCATTGAGAGTGCCCACGTACACAACATCTGTTACAAATTACACATCACATAATAATTACTATAAAAAAAATAAGAAACATGATATACTTRTTGACTGTATCACAGATTATATAATTATTTTATATAATCTGTGACTGTATTATGAAATACATATAGCATAAAGGATAAATCGTAAAATTTCAAGATTAAAATATCTTACCTACTTCGGTGTCGTTTGCCATCAGAGAATAAGAATCGTACGCATTGGGAATGTCAAACTGTTTGGCAAATTCTTGAGACCTCGCTTTGTCTTTGGACGCCACTGCTGTGATCAAGTGCTCTGTCCGTGGCAATGTATCCATGGCCACAGCGAAATCGTGAGATATATTGCTGGTGCCAATCAATCCCCATCTGGTCGCCATCACTACAGCGTGAAGCAGGTACACCTGAAATAGTCGTGTCTGTCGCGTGCACCCCGCGGCCCTGCAATAACAGACATTTAAATTTTAACGAGTTTTCGCGAGTAATATAATATAAGTCTGTCAACAGTGGATCATCAAAACATGCTGCACGGACAATATTATAGCAACAACCTGTTACTTACCTTTGTGCTGATACAGTTRGAAACAACTCGTCAGTACCTACCACAGTGCTCCGTACAGAGTTAGTAGAATAATTATTATGTATACTGTGTAGATTGAAAATATTAGCACACCCACAGGTTAGGGCCACGAAAGATTATCAATGTCAAATGTTAATACTGTCTTAATTTGAAGAACATATTTTATTAGAGTTATATAAATTATAAAAACCAGTCTGTTCCCTGTACATCATCATTATTATTAAGTAATTTRATTAGTGATTACACAATGATTTATGATTATGTAATCTAAATCGCTACTCACRTAGGTACCTCCACAGTCTACAGCTACTGCTCTGAGTCGGCAATTAGTCATATTAAAATCTGAACGGACCAACTGATTAAGTTATTAACAGGAAACCTATCTACCATTTAGATTTAGGTAGGTAATAATGTGT